GTGGCAACAACAATGTGTTTAATAGTAGCATTGATTGTGAGGTTGGTGCAGGATTGATCAGTGTTTCATTCTGTTATGCACAAGGTCACTTCAGTCAGTACCAACTCCACAGCACCTAATAACAAGTACTACTCTGAGAAGGCAGTTTCTCCCCAGTTATATTTTGTTTGCCTTCCACCCTGAGGGACCCAACTTCTTGCACTATATCTGACAATGTTCTCCTGCTATTAATAATATTTATATCTTCTGGTACTATATCTGACAATGTTCCACTGTTATTCATATGCTTTTCAGTGTTTAAGTATTTAGAAATAGTCCACCTCTTCTTCTTCCTTGACTGTCTTAGTCTGGAAGCTCAGCTGAAGCCTGTCTACCATGTGTGTCCCTGCTAATATTTAAAATAGTGGTGGCATTGCTTCTAGAATCACAGCAACCTACCAGCCACAGCAGTAAGACAAACTGCTAGACAAGTGGTGGGTGGTTTGGTGATGAGTGGTAGTAATCTCCCATGATGAGCTCTAGTATAATGCACTCTGTTTTGAGCAGCCCTGTTCTGATGTAAGAATCTGACCTTCTAAGATGTTAATGAAGCTGGATGCAATCTACAGGATAAGATTGCATTTTTTTAAAAAAAGTTTTTATTGTGAATTGAGTGATAGTTTACATGGGAGAACATCAGCTTGACACTCATCATATCGTATTTCATTTCATTGCAATGATTACAATCCCCTCCATGCATCATCACTCAACAGTATGTGAAGGAGTTTGGAGCCGACTGCAAGTACAAGTTTGAGAGCTGGGGTGCCTGTGATGGGGGTACAGGCACCAAGGCCCACCAAGGCACCCTGAAGAAGGTATGATATAATGCCCAGTGCCAGGAGACCATCCTCGTGATGAAACCATGTGCTCCCAAGACCAAAGCCAAGGCCAAAGCCAAGAAAGGGAAGGGAAAGGACTAGGGGCCAAGCCTGGATGCAAGGAGCCCACTGGCTTCACTCTCCCACAGGCCCAAGATATAACCCAACTGTGCCTTTTTTCCTACTCCTTAGTTTTATCAATCACACCTTGCCTCTTCCCCTGAACTCTCCTGCCCCCAACCCCAAGCAACCAAAGTGGAGAGAGATGGGAGAATTCTGGGAGGCTGGAGCTTCCTCCCAAAGGTATTTGATTTCTCTGTTCCCTCCACCACCCCTTGATGGCTTCCTCACAATGATACCATTATCAATAAACAAATAAACGGTCCCCCCCCGCCCCAATTTTTTTTTTTTTTTTAAGTACACCAAAACATTCAGGAATATTCAATCATTCAAACAACCCTGCAAGCCTGCCCCTTGGCCACCAGCACACAGCCTCTCTTCCTCCATGAGTCTAGAGTCCCCAGCTGCTCCATCTCTCCACATCATCAATTCTGCCTCCATCGTTGGCATCGTTGCTTCTCTGAATAGGGTCCCACACTTTGCTCCCACTCTTCTCCCTTGATAGTCCCAGGGTCCTCTGCTCCTGGACTACAAGATCAACCACTTCCTTTTTTTTTGCTACAAAACCTTTACAGTTGCAACAATCACAATCAGTCATGATAACAATTACTCACTATTGAACTCCAAGAGTCTTATCCTCATCTCTTTTCACCAACCCCATCTAGACAGATTGAAAACCACTTAGTGGAGATTCTACCTTCTCCCGCACCCTCTAAACTCCCTCTTGAAACTTGTAAGCCATTCACTTTGTGCCTTTATTTGTTGTTGTTGTTATGTGCCATGGAGTCGGTTCTGACTCATAGTGACCCTGTACAGGGTTTACAAGGCTGTGAATCTTTATGGGAGCAGAAAGCCTCATTTTTCTCCCATGGAACAGCTGGTAGTTTTGAACTTCTGACCCTGAGGTTAGCAGTCTGATTCGGAACCACTATGCTATAGAACCCCATTTTATATAGCCAATGTCTAAGTTTCCCATTCTTACCAACCCTGTGTACAGAAGGGATGGGAATGATCCTTGTTGTGAAATTTTTTTCCCTCTTGGTTGATATTTTAATCTATTACATCCATAAGTATAGGTCAAGTTAATCAAATTATAGTGAATTACACTTGTTTTCTTTATAAAAATTTTTTCTTCTTCTTTTCTTTCTTCCTCTAGTCGAGTTCTGATCATACAGCCATTGAGGGTAGGTCAAATGGGTACTGTCTGTAAGTAAGGATGTTCTTGTGTGTCTCCCTTCACTTCGTATCAGCTGGACGCTTTACTCTCCACTCTAGCCCTCTGTGGCTATGTCCTTGTCCATGTGCTCCGGAGTCCCCAGGTCTCACCATACTGCTGGCCAGCCAGGAGTCTATGTAATGTGATCGGACTCAGCCCATATATTCATTGCTTCTTTTGATTGTATTTTATGTCAATCTCTTTTAAGCTATGAAAGAGATCAAACAAGCAAGATTAACTTTAAACATGACCAAGAGATAATGTCCCTGAAGGATGAAGTCTAACTTGCAGTGAAGGCATTAATAAAGAACAAAGGTCTGGGAATTGATGGAAAACAAATTGAAATCTTTCAACACACTGATGCAACACTGGAGGCATTCGCTCATCTATGTCAAAAATTTGGAAGATGGTTCCCTGGTCAACTGATTGAAAGAGATTCATATTTGCTCCCATTCCAAAGAAAAGCGACCCAGTGTATGGAGAAATCCTCGAACAACATCATTAATAGCTCATGTAAACCAAATTTTGCTAAAGAAAAATTTAAAATGACTGCAACCATACATTGACAGGGAACTGCCAGGGTTTGAAGTGGGATTCAGATGAGGATGAGGAACAAGGAATATCACTGTTGATATCAGACAAATCTTGGCTGAAAGGAGAG